TAAGACTACAGACAGTCCCCGGGTTCTGTTCCAGAATACGTTTACAAGTTGGAACACAATGCAGGACAATGTAAACCAGTCACTCATATGTACATGAAATGTTAGTATACCGGTCTTTAAAATTACACCCCCTGTATGGGATTGCATTCATAAGTATGAGCGTTCGTAAGTCAGACATTCGTAGATTGAGGACACACCATTGTCTTGAATTTATTGTCATCCTGGCATGTACAGATCCATCTTAGTGGTCATCGTTATATTGGGAGCATACGGATGGCATGGTGGCTTAGTGGTTAGCATTGCTGCCTCACAGCGCCAGCGACCCAGGTTCAAATCCACCATTGAGTGACCGTCTGTGTGGAGTTTGCACATTCTGTCCGTGTCTATGTGGGTTTCCTCTGGTTTCCTCCCACAGTCCAAGGATATGCAGGTTGGGTGGATTGGCCATGGGGAATGCAGGGATACAGTAGGGGGGCATGGGTCTGAGTGGGATGCTCTTCAGAGGGGGGACTCAATGGGCTGAATGGCCTGCACTGTAGGGATTCTATGACATGCTTCAATTTGCTTCTGTAGCCTTTACAGACTGATGGTTATGTTGTATGAGTTCTCCAAACTCTGATAGCTTGGCATTATCTACAGTTGAGGTTGACCACACCCACATGGGCTACCTTCAAATGGGAATTGTCCCTCTTTTCATGTGGAAAAGTGCTTTGGTCTTGACCAATAAAAACACAAAGTATAGCAGGAACACAGCACACACAATACAATATCCTAACAAGAATATAGTTAAGAACCAAGACATTAACTCTGTTTATATCTCCACAGATGCTGCGGACACTGATGAGTTTCTCCAGCATTTTTTTCTTTCAGATTTCCAACATCTGTAGTATTTTATTTTAGTCCTGAATGGGCCAGGAGTTATGGGGTTGGGGGGGATTGTAATGTTCATCCTCACCCCCAAAAAGAACAAGGTGCTAAATTGACAGATGTGAGGTAAGGCTGTCCTTTAGGATGGAGAGGGCTTGGGAACCTTTGGGAGATGGGTGAGGGTGGATTTTGGAGGCCAGGAGGGGAGGCACAAAAGGGGGCAGTATAATCATAGGAGTGGAGGGAGAGTGGCTCCTATGCATAGAAGATATACCTTGCCCCTGCAATCACAGACTGTGCTATGGATCATATCAAACTCCCTCACAATATATTAAGAACATAGTCTAGACCCCAACTTTTCTTATTCTAAAAGCAAGTGCCAGGCATTGCACTACAGATGCAATTTGATTCATCAAACTACCAGTCTTGAAGAAAACCAAACTTTATTCATACACTACAGTTAAAATACAACAAAAAATGCTGAAGAGATAGTGAGAACTGCTGATGCTGGAGTCAGAGATAACACAGTGTGGAGCTGGAGGAACACAGCAGGCCAGGCAGCATCAGGAAAACTGACGTTTCGGGTCAGGACCCTTCTTCAGAAATGGAGAAAGGGAAGGTAGCTCTGAAATAAATAGAGAGGAGGGGTGGATCTTGGGAAAAGTAGGTGAGATAGTGATAGGTGAATTCAGGTAGGGGGTGATGGGGATTGGTCAATGAGGTGGGAGGGGCGGATAGGTGGGAGAGGAGATGGACAGGTTGTGTCAGGTCAAGGAGGCGGGGATGAGAGGGAGGGTTGGACATGGGATGAGGGCAGGGGGTGTGGGAAGATTTTAAAACTAGTGAATTCCACGTTTAGGCCATCGGGCTGTAGGCTCCCAAGGAGGAATATGAGGTATTGCTCCTTCAGTTTGCAGGTGGTGTCATTGTGACACTGGACGAGGCCCAGGATGGACATGTCACCCAGGGAGTGGGAGGGGGAGTCATCTGTGCATCCGTCAAAATCATTCTCCGCCACTTCCACCACTTCCGCCACCTACCATCCGACCCCACAACCAAAGATATATTTCCCTCCGCACCCCTATCTGTCTTTCGTTCGGATCACTCCCTCCGTGACTCCCTTGTCCGCTCCACACTCCCCACCAGCCCCACCACACCCGGCACCTTTCCCTGCAACCACAGGAAGTGCTACACCTGCCCCTACACCTCCCCCCTCAGCCCCATCCCAGGCCCCAAACAAACCTTCCACATCAGACAGAGGTTCACCTGTACATCTGGCATGTTGGTCTCCTGTATCTGCTGCTCCCGATGTGGCCACCTCTATATCAGTGAGACCAAGTGGAGACTTGGAGACCGTCTTGTAGAGCATCTGCGCTCCGTACGCGACAAACGACAACGCCTTCCGGTCACCAACCATTTTAACTCCCCTCCCACTTTTGTCACAAAAAGGCCTCAATAGGGCATAAAGATGGGAGATGGAAGGATGGTGGGGCTCCTGGGTGCCTTCCCCTTGGATTATGGGGTCTGATCACAAAGACAGCTCTCCTTCTCAGTTTTTCCTTGACATATTTTCCTCCTGGACAGGAAAATTGCTTGTAAGACAATCTATTTTACTGAATTTGCCTTTGCCAAGGGTGTGTTTATGGGATGGTACTATATTGGAACAGTTACTGTTTAGTAGTTAAACAATCTATTATTCTGTTAATGGAGTTATGTTATATCAATGTTGCAGTCGATGACCTGCCCATACCAAGAGTCCACGCTGCAGAGATTTTGTGGACTGTGTTTGTAAGAATATGTCCTGGCCTGCTGACTGTCTTTAACATTCACTGTGACTTTTTCAGGTTTGCAACAATGGCAGTGTTTTTTGGTTCCACAGCCCCAACATGTGGCCTGACTTTTATTAATAATTCAATAATTTTCTTTGTGGATGTTTCACTTTGCTCGAGTTGAGCGGGTGCCGGCCGTGGCTGCTGGCCTGTAGACCCGACATGTGTACACTTGGAATAGCGGCTGGGCTTTGGCTGCAGCGATGGTGGAGCGGGGACTCTGGGCTGCGGTAGGCCCGAATGTGGACTCTTGGTTTTTTTTTGGGAGTGTGGGGAGCGTAGGTTGGGTCGTCGACTGTGGTGGTGTTGGTGCCCGGAGTGAGAGCTCCCGGCTGTTGTAGGCCCCTAGCGGGGGCCTTGCAGAAGTCCTTGGGGTCGTGTTTGGGACACTGACCAATGCTGATGAACTCTGTTTAAGTGCTTTCTTTTCATTCTTTCATGCCTCAAAATAGTGCCGGATTGTGGCGACGGCTCACTTTTCAGTCTATCTCTCTAGATACGAGAGACGATAAATCGTTCATTCATTCGAAGTCACAAGGTCTGAAAACAATCTCTTAGCAAGCTCCCTGAAGACCTGAGAAACTCCCAGTTGACATAATAGGAGCCAAGATGCTTCTCCCAGCCAGCGCTAACCCTATCCTTTGGGAAAGTCATGAACCGATGGTCACAAATGAGTGGCAGATTGGCCAAGCCAGTGCAAGTTTTCTTGCTGCCCTGCCCTCGGTGACATCCTGATTCGGGACAGGAAGATCTGGCCCAAGATCACATCTGTAATGAAGCATCGACCAACCTGAACCATTCACTTCCCAGATGGTGATTGACTGCTGCGTACTTTCCAGCACTTTCTGTTTCTAACTGTCCCAACAAAATCAAATCTGTGCTGCATCAATATACATAACTCAAGCAACCTTTAGTTGCCTTGCAATCAATCTTAGCTTCAGTAGAATCCCTACAGTGTAGAAACAGGCCATTTGGCCCATCGAGTCCACACCAACCCTCTGAAAAGCATCCCGCCCAGACCCATACTACTGCCCTGTAGCTCTGCATTTCCCATGGCTAATATAACTAGCCTGCACACCCATAGACACTATGGGCAATTTAGCACAGCCAATCCACCCAACCTGCACATCTTTGGACCGTGGTAGGAAACCATCACAGACACAGGGAGAATGTGCAAACTCCGCACAGACAGTCACCCGAGGGTGGATTCAAACCCAGGTCCCTGGTGCTGTGAGGCAGCTGTGCTAACCACTGAGCCAGCACACAACCCTAAATGCACTTTTCAGTAAAAACTCTGCAGCAGTGTTCTGGCAAACTCAAGTTGACTATGGATTAAATTACTATGTGATTGAAGGATACCACTTGTACTTTCCTGTTGTAGCAAACGTATTTATTGAATGTGTTTTTATAATTCACCTAAATCTCAGTCCTATGTTAATTCATCAGTGCTGGGGAACAATACATGGGCTGACAAGAATGTTGATGTTTTTTTTATATATATAAACAAATGTCATTTAGTTTAATCTCTGCGTTATTTTAATAACTTTTACCAAATGGATTTTGGAATTTGCTGAGTGCAGCTATGTCTCTGACAGATGGATTATACTAATTTCTCATCACCCACTCTGTTCCAGTGGGCTAACAGGGCCTGCAATTCTTTGAAAATACTGCCCAGAGTTGATAAGTCTGTCTACACTGATGTCCCACAGGGAATCACTTTATTTCGGAGATTGGAAAAAAAAAGAGATAGTTGCATTTCTATAGCTCCCTTCCAGGCCCTCGGGGTCACCCAGTATGCTTTAAAACCAACGAAATTCTTTCCAAGTGTAATCACTGCTGTTATGTAGGAAACACAGCAGCTATTTTGTGCACTGCGCTCTCTCCCCAGAACACAGCAATGGGATGATGATCTGTTTCAGTGGTGCTTGTTGAGGGATCAATGTCAGCCAGGTCAGTTTTCTTGATGTTATTTTATGGGATGTGAGTGTCACTAGCTCAGCATCTCTTGGCCATCTCTAGTTGTCCCCTGTGAAGGTAGTAGTGAGTCGCCATGAACCACAACAGTACCCATGGTGTAGGGGCACTGCCCCATCGCTGATAAGGAGGGAGCTCCAGGATTTTGACCCAGTGACACTAAAGGAACAGCCAATATAGCTCCAAGCCCAGATGGTGAATGAGAGGCTTCAAGGGGAAAATCCACTTGCTGTCCTTCTGAATAATGTCTTGGGATCTTTTAGATTTACTATTTAGATCTACTTTTAGATTGGCAGACAGCACCTTGAGAAAGGCTTCATCTGAAAGATGTCACCGGCTGGACTTAGTGTTCTCTTGGTCGGACATGGTGTTCTCTCGGTCGGACGGTGGCGATCTCTCGGTCAGATGTGGCGGTCTCTCGGTCGGACGTGGTGTTCTCTCGGTTGGACGTGGTGTTCTCTCGGTCGGATGTGGCGGTCTCTCGGTTGGACGTGGCGATCTCTCAGTCGGATGTGGCGGTCTCTCGGTCGGACGTGGCGGTCGCTCGGTCAGACGTGGTGTTCTCTCGGTCAGACGTGACGGTCTCTCGGTCGGACATGGCGGTCTCTCGGTCAGACGTGGCGGTGTCTCGTTCGGACATGGCGATCTCTTGGTCAGACGTGGTATTCTCTCGGTTGGACGTGGCGGTCTCTCGGTCAGACGTGGTATTCTCTTGGTTGGACATGGCGGTCTCTCGGTCGGACTTGGCGGTCTCTCGGTCAGACGTGGTGTTCTCTTGGTCAGTCGTGGCAGTCTCTCGGTCGGACGTGGTGTTCTCTCGGTCAGACGTGGCGGTCTATCGGTCGGACATGGCGGTCTCTCGGTCGGACTTGGCGGTCTCTCGGTCAGACGTGGTG